TTCGTCGAGTCATAAATATAGTACATATTTTTTACATCTGGTTACAAACTATGTTAGATTCTCGATGTAACCTATTACCAGATATTAAGTGAATAAAAAGAGTTAACTGCATGGCACTCCACAAATACTTTATTTTATTGTTATGAATTATAATTAGCCCACAGCCTTGGTACAAGCAGCTACTATGTGATTTTTTTTTCACAATGGTGTCGATATAACGTCTTATCAGACAGGTTCAAATAATACAGTATTAAAAAAGTTGATATTACTAAAATGTTACAAAACTCGTTTTATTATTAATTATAATAGTTCTACAGGCTGTATTTTTACACTAGTACAGTGAATACATGTTACGACAATTGCAGTAACATCCCTAACACAGAAAAACCTTCACAATCAATCGCTTGCTATAAACGGACTCCCGTGCCTGTGACAATCGACCGGCAAAAATCTCTACCTTGAGTCTTATGTAGACCCCACTTTATTTTAGATTTAGACTTCATTTTAGATGAGACATCGAGATGTAGACCAGACGCAGGCTGGTCATGCACCAGCGCTGGGCTCGGCTTATTGTGTTGCGCGCTGCCAGATTAATCCACAGCTTGATAGTTTTTCTGAGAACAAAATAATTGACAATATCGTATAATAGACCCTCGTAATTGTAGTTTCAAATGTAACCTAGAGTTAGATTGTATTTCTTTATGAGTGACCCGTGGCGTGAGAAGGGATGAGGTGGTAATTTTTGCAATTTGAAGCGACTGTAGCACTGTGAAAATTAATAAGTCATTTACCTTATATCATCATATGCCTTGCTATTACTTTGATTGGCACGTCTCGTACAGAAAGATAATTTCTAATTTTAATAAGTTCATAGTGCGGCATACTAAAAGAAGCAAGAAAACTTTGGAAGTAACTAAAACAGAAGTGATAATACAAACAACAATAACGCTGGCCTTCTTATCAAAACTAACGTAATCGGTGTTTATAGCGAAATAGAGCTATTAACATATTTGGAACTGGGACCTCCTCTAATCGGTTTTTTATGTCTTATTTGGGTTCAGTTTTATTGTTAAAAGCTAAATTAGCATAACTCATATTTTTAAAAGAAAAAAAGTGTGAAGTGCCAATATTTCGGAAGTCCAAAAAAACAAAAGTTAAAGTAAAATTATAACAAGCAGAGCAGAATAGAATAATGAGTAATCACAGAGGTCGTACAGGGTAATTTCGTGATTCGTAATCTATCCGTGCCCATCCTGCGCATTATTAATAATATTTACCCACCTTAGGCAAATTCTACCGTGCGAAAATTGTGGTTTATATCAAATTACCCCGTTGAAAAATTCATGTTAAGACTGTTCGTAGGATCGAACCACGGATGTCGTTTGCATATTGACTATATTTTTTATTACGGGAACACTCGTTGATCTAAAAATGGCAAATATTTTGATGAGGTTCGTTGCTTGCATTCTAATTTATGTTGTAACATTCGTTTTCCTACGGAGTGGGGTTTCCAAGGATGGGATTGTATCAAATATTAGTTTAATATGTTCTCTCGTCTTATAATGTAATTAGTATTATTTGTTTTTATTTAGCTTTTGAATTGCAACATATTATAAATATGGGACTAGCAATAAACACAAACACATTCTTATGGCGTATTCTTCGAGTTCATTTTTTCTATAAAATAAACGTCACCTGCAGCCTTGAATAATAACAAAAATAATTAAGATTCTTTATTTTTATCGAGTTCTTAGGTTTTCGCGATTGTTACACCTAGGAAATAAAACTATTTTTTCGGATTTAAATCGCGTATATTTGTTTTTTCAAACAATTTCAATTTCAATTTCTTTATTTTCTCAATACAATAAAGGTACGTTGAGCATGATATCAAAAACAATACATAACAACAAAATATATACTGTGGGAGACTGGTCCCTAAACTAGACGTAATGTTTGTATTTCAGGTCACCAGGACTCCACCCCTTGGAAAATACAAATTTGCAACTTGGAATTATATCTGCGTTATTGCACATTGACAATTGCGATAACTAACTTATCTATTTAAAGTAAAGTTTACAAAGGAAAAAAAACATAAAAATAAGGAAAAATATTGTTTATGCATTATTACTTTGGTTAGTAATTGTTTGTGTATACGTGTGTTTTTAATGGACCTAAATTGTAGCGTTCGGAAAACAGCTGCCACTTTTGCGCTACGCATTATGAAGGATGAAACAAACACTTCGTGCGAATGCGAGTGGTAAGTCTCAAAGATGGAATGTTCCGTATTTTCTAATGGACCGAAGTAGGAACGGTTAAGGTGAACGAAAGTGTGGAGTTCTTGCGCCCTCTCGTAGATCGAGATACAGTTCCTTTGATGTACGTATATTTTATGTAGTGACCGCAGCTATCGCGGTCCATCTCACGGTCGCCACGTCTTAGAGTTTCCTCGACACCTTGAAATTCTGTTGCCGTTGCGACCTTTTTGCTAGAAATGTTTATCTATTTCAATGAAAACCTTAGCGCTGTAGCGAATGAGCTAATAAAAGTGTATCTTTGTAGTTTTCTTTGAATTTGCTTAATGAAATTACATTCAGGATTTGTGCAGAAGTATGTACATTACAGAAGTCAATGACAGCCTTATCAGGCTTTCCCTATGGAACAACGCATGTTTCCTACGCAGGAGCCTTTAGGTGAAGACAGCGAGGCCTGCATTATCAAATAAATCATGTAACCTATGCAGAAAAAGAAAACCTAGTACCAAGTACTCGTATGTAGGTACAGGCGTATACATATAGCAATGTTTCCCACCAGTGAAACGGTGGATTAAGAAAGCTTATCCTTCTTGTTTCAAAAGACCCCCGCGCTCCCCTCGCCGAGGTGTATGCCGAGAACAAACACTGTGTAGAGGAAGCGTTTGCTAGTTTTGAAGTTACGAAAGTGCGCCGTCGTCGATTTGCCATTGTCGGGGCTTAAACTACCTTCAAACAAAAACTTAATACACTACATCAGGTAAGCACCTATCAAATAAAATATATTTCGAATTTAGGTTTTTAAATTTTGACGTCAACAGATCGTGATGATCGGTCCGTGTATATTATACTGCAGCACTAATCCAAGAAGTCAATGGATGTCGTTTAACAAATATCCCAAAATAGCAGGCGTCGTCGCGTCGTTAATTCACGCAGCGGGAGCTGCACCCGTCCGGCCGCCCGGTCCGTATAACGGGCCGGTCGGTAACCGGCTGTCGGTATGCGGCGCGCGTACGCCGAACAGCGGAGAGGTAACCGCGCGTGTAATTAGGAGCTTGCGCCCTCGGGACCCGTCGGCGTACCTTGCGATACTTCACCGTTTTCTGACTATTTCATTACCTAACCGTAAATAAAGGTAAAGCTGAGGTACAATTTTGCGTGTTCAGTGGAAACACTCTGAACTATTCGTAGACTGCGTTCCCGCTAATATTTGTAAAGAAAAAAGATTTATTAGATAAGTGTGGTAGAACTCAAAATATGGGGGGAAGGTGCCGCAGCATTTCAGAGAGAGAGCTTGAATTGAAAATATAGATTTGGCTGCAATGCACTTTAAAACACTTCTATGCAGTACAGAGTATATTATTTGATTGGTGTCGCAGTAACACATTCTAGTACCCTCCCGGTGCGTGCGAGAGAGTCGAATAACAAAGGTGTAAATACTTCGGCGGGTGATCACATTTGTATTCAGCGGCTGTCGCGCGCCCCCGCCCGGCCCGTTCCCACCCCCGCTCGTAGAAAGTTTTAATTGTCCCACACGCCTATTTGGTGCTGACGCATCGACTAATTATTGTAACGAGTGGAAAGGATAATAGTCGCAATTTCCACTCGGTTTTTGTTTGTGAAATCAAATCGAATACTTTTTATAATAATGACAAAATTATTTACTTCCTAGATATTATACAAAAACTATTTTTTTCTTTGCTCAAAGTCCTGCTAGCCTTTTATATACTTATATGTGCTTATTATATACATATATATTAAATTATATACCTACTAAATGACACCAAAAGCGAAAGAGTCACGTATCTTATAGAAGGGAAGATCGAAGGAAAGAGAGGCAGAAGAAGATCGAAACGAATTTATTTAGAGTTAAACGGGGATTTAGGGAAAACGTTAATGCTTCAAAGTCTGGGCGCTGAACAGAGAATCATTTTTGCTTAGCGTGGAATTTGAGTCGACTCGGAAAAGCCATGCGACGTTGTACTATAAGCGACAGACAAGAGCGCTAGAACTTACCTAAGATGGTACTTTTATCCAATGCCCATGCATGGCGGTCGCGAAGGATATTACATAGTATATAATAGTTACCTTATCGTAACAACTCCACAAACCGAGTATAAAGAAAATAACAGAAGCCTCAAAGCACAAAACTGCAGATTCGCAAATTTTATTCGAAGTTCCGTGCCAACTAAGATCGGTAATCTAATCAAGTTGTAATTGTTTAAAGCAAATTTTTAAATCCTATATTATGTCCATTTTGTTATATTATTAAGTTTATTTTAAGAAAGTCGATAAGGATTTTAATAGTTTTGTCCATTACGTTTAAAACTTTTAAGATTATAAATAGGAGTTCTTAGGTTACCGCGGTTGTTACACATAGGAAATGAAAATGTTTTTTTCGGATCGAAACCGCATATATTTGTTTTTTTTTTTCAATCAAATATTAGAGATGACTGGTTAATTTCTTTACCATCTCAGTCTGCAGTAACCATGGACCTGTAAAGAGCCCGAAACATTACATATACGAAATGTTTGTTTCTTAACTTTGTACGTTTTACAACCGCACATTTTTCTTCCGCTTACCTTGCGCTCTACTTTGT